TCACATCCTTCCTGCTGTATAGAAATAGCCTTTACAGACTGACTCACTGTGGAGTGGCAGAGGAAGCCGAATATGATCATGGCCAGGGCTGGGGTCAGGATGGTTCCAAAGATGGCGCTGGCCAAAAGTCCATTGATGAGAGCGATGATGAGGTTCTGAGCAGTGACCAGAACAGAGCAGGCCCAGCAGTCCAGAGAGCCGCGCAACTCCAGGGGGCTATCCGCTTCACTGCCCCCCATTGAGTATGGAGGAGGCACAACGACCCCTGATCCCGCTCTGGAGGGGCTCCTCAGCTCTGAATGGCTCTGCTCTGACATTGGCTTCTCCAATGTCCCGTTCCGCGACAAACTCATGGTGTAATCCTGTCAAAGCCAAATATCTCTTAAATACATATTTCTTAAAGGTGCACTATGCACATATTCTAGTGGGGGATCTGTCACCGTGGAGATGTTACTGCTTTACCTGGCATGTTCCACAGTATGGTTTTAACCTTACCTAAAAAGCATTTGTTCAATCATGGATGGTTAATGCTAAAACCAACACCAACACATACATTCTTATTTTGAGAAGGGTCACGTTTTCAGAGCCCTGTACGTTGCTGCTACCTCCTGCTTGTCTCCACAGATAGATACTGTGGAACACTTTAGGCAATGCAATAACATTTCAGTGGAGTCAAGCTGGTGGCGGGGCCTCCACCAAAAAAGTTACATAGGGCACCTTTAAGTACATATTTCTAGATTCCTATTTTCTACATTTCATGTACACTTACATGAGTGGATATGTTTAATATCCAGTCCCTTAACTACACAACAAAATGGTAGGAAGCTGCAAGCATTAGATAATGGTTTTCCTTAAATACTGTGCTGAAAGGTGTGGAAAGTCTCTACAGATAACTGGCCTGCTGTAAGTGGGAGGAAATGGGTCACAGTGACCCCACCTCCAAAATGTGGGATAAACTTGTACCACTGAACAATGAGCCACAAACAGCTGGACAATGTTGAAAAAAGTCCAATCTAAATATATACAGTTGATGTGTGAGAACCAGTCCCTGCGTCATATTTGACCAATAACAAGCTTACATAACTCCTGTACAATCATGGTGCTTCATGTTTTTGTGGAATACTGTGAGATGTGTGTGCGCGCGTGTGTGTGTGTGTATGTGTTAGGCTGAGTATAGAAAATTCATAAAAAATAACTTTCCAAAAAGTATTATTATTATTGATGAAATAAGTTTGAGCATCACTCATTCAGGAGCCATTTTAGTTTTTGTTGTTTATGGAAGCTGACAGTAAAATATTTTTAGTTAGTTTAGTTTAGTTAAATACACTGTCAAGAACTGCACTGGTATTACCAGAGGTGGATAGTCAAAAATATGACCCAAATTAACTTCAAAATAATAATACTCAAGAAGAAGTACAAAGTAATATTCCAGGAATTTACTCAGATTCAGAGTAAAAAGTATTTTAGAAAACTACTTGGTACTCAAGTAAGCGTGTCTGAATGTAACATCTAATTTATAATTTGAATCAATGTAATCTGAAGGACAATGAATAATTCATAAATATATATTATTATTAATATCTTATGGAGAGCTGGAATAAACACAAATGTTAAAATCAAGAATAACCAAAAAAAAAAACTTTCTTAAGTGAGAGTAGTAGGAGTAAAATGATGGTGTCTGAAAAATACTCAGATAAGTACAATTGTAAGAAAAGGTTACTCAAGTAAATATAACTGAACAGTACTACCCATCTCTAGGCATTACCAGAGAATTCAAAAGCTATTTTCATTTCAGATCCATAGGGGTAATAGTAACAGGTAGGTTAATACCTTTTCAGATATTTTTAAGGTAGTTGGTTATTTGGTAGTTATCATCTACAGTCCTTATTAAACTCACTGTGCTGCGGCTTGTATCCAGCTTGTGTCTGCTGATGGGATCCTCAGACCTGGACAGTGAAGAGTTCCTACACTGTAGTCGTCTTTGAGGTGCCCGTCCTGAGATGGTTCTTCTTGACCACAGCGGTCCTCTGCTCTGTCCTGCGGAAGGTAAAAACCATCAGATGCTCCCTCTGCCTGTAACACACTGGCCCTCCACCTCAGACCTGCTGCTCTGAGTCAGACTTAGTGCTTTCCTACAGGCTTCAGTGCTTCCTTCCCTGACATTCTGTTTCCTCACAGCGACTCCACTCTCAGATATGGAGTGTGTGTGTGTGTATATCCTGTGCTGCTAATGCTAATGCCGGCCCAGGACTGATGTATGTGTGAGAGGGAAAGAGAGGGAGCAGGGGGGCAGCGGAGGGTTTTGTCTGATAACCCCAGAGCCCTGCTGTGGAGCCAGGGGGAGGGAGGAACTCTGTTTATTTGGAGAGATTAGAGGAGTCAGGCTGTGCTGCTCAATCCCCAACACTTTACACCAAGCACACACCACTTTCTCTACTTCAAATACTGATAACCGCCTGGTTACAAAACTCAAACAACTGCCATGGTTGTGATGATTAAATCTACTCTTATGAAAGTGTAATTAAATTGTGTAATGATACTAAAAAGAGTACAACATTTGTCACTGCTCTAAGTTTATTATGTGTAACGTATGGGATGACTGAAGAACTGGAAATGAAGTTTGTGTATCTAAAAGGGTTTAACACAACTAATTTTAAAGTTACTTTATTAAACATATGATTTCATGCTACAATTTGAACATTAGAGTGTTTGTGTTTTATATACTTCTGATGGTTATATTTTTTGTAGTGCCTCTATGATATAAAAAGTATTTGTCAAGGGTTGGGACAAGACAATCTACTTATAGTTTTACTTTTTCTATTGCATTTTATGCTTCATTTTTAATTTTTTTTATCTCACAAACAATCAAATCATGTAACTGTTTAAATTGTGTTTATAGCAACAGCTGATAAAATGTGAAGTATAAATTATATAAAAAGTATTAAACTTTTAAAAATTATCTGCTGTGTCCATGCTTCCTTGCAGTTTGGGGCACCACAATTGAAGTGAGATGTCAAAGGCCATGTCAGAGTTGACCACTGGTTGGTGTAGCGACCACAGCACAGCACTGACCCCCGACCTCGTGATGAAAAACAGCACTAGCCCTCTGAAGGAAATGAGGATGGGGGAATGCTAACCAATTTGCCGGCGAAAAGAGCCTATCATGGGACTGATAAGAACCAAACGGACCCAGTTCAAAGAGTGAAATCACTTACTTTGATTTTGAAGTCCCTTTTTTCCTCCCCACTAAGGGTATCTTTTGTTTATTTGTTTTCTAAAGAGTGCAGATATATGCTGTCCCCTGTGTAGAGCTGGTTAAAATAATGAGTGATCAAAGGCAATATGGAACTTGAATGCAGCTGATAAAAAAACATGAAAAAGACCACGTAAGTAGTGCAGCTAACAATGACGGTGGTATTACGATGTATTTTATACGTTAATCTTAGGGGGTTGGTAGAGGAAGAGCAACCTTCCTGTCCTTGGAAGCGGGATATCCGTTGCTGTGGTCCTGGTTTACGGAGAGCATCTGCACATTTGGCAACCTCCTGTCCCCTCACCCTTGACCTGACAAAGACAAGGCCAAGAAGTCAACAACAATACCAAATAGGAAGAAGAACAGTTTAGAGTGGATTTTTAGTAGTGCCGGAAAGTGATCAAATACAAAAGTACATGCAGCAGATATTTGTGTGTTCTACTCCACTATATGGTAGAACTTCAACTTTTGCTAATGAAAAATCCACATAATTCTTTATAAACATCACCATATTTGACACTTTAACTGGTACTTCAGTACTTTTGGTTAAAGCATTTTTTGTTTGATATTTTAACTTGAATATTTGGTGTGCATCTATACTTTTACTTAAGTACAAAACTGAGTGCTTCTTTCGCCATAACTTTAGATAGTAAATTCTGTATCATATAGGTCTAGTGATTATGTTTTCTTTAGCCCTTATGGGTACTGCATAATCAGTAAAAATGTCATAGTTTCTGGAGCGGTTTGATTTGCTTGGCTTTTTAAATGGAGCAGCTGCAGCTTTGACAAGATGGTATCAGAAAAATGTAGGAGGGGGAGGAAAATGAGAAATGCCACTGTTCACTCCCTCAGTCAGTCCACAGCCCAGAAGAGGCAACGCGCATGGTCCATCAGTGCCATCCAGTGGTTTTACTTTGAACTGCAGCTGAGGAAAGAGGACGTAAATGTGGTCATTATAACACCAAAACGTCACTAATATCCAAAGCTATGGAAGCGAATTACCTTTATTTGTTGAGAAAAGACATGGGCTATAGGGGTCCAAAACTAGATAACGATATTACTACTATACCCAGGCTACAGCACAATTAGCTAGCCTACAAAAATGTGACTAAACAATACGCTAATTATGGGCATTAGAAGGTTATTTGGTTAGATTCAGTTAATAGACAATTTTATTTATTATTATTATTATTATTATTATTATTATTATTTTATTTATTTATTTATTTTTTGCTAAATCTGGGCATATAGTAGTTTGTAACACCATTTAGATTTTTCTGTTACCTGCAATTTATACTATGCTTCATCAGACTTCATCAGCCTTGCAAATGTGTGCTGATTCAGCTTTTGTTTTCAGTAGTTTAGTTTTAGCCATATTTGCTATATTCTGATTGGATGAAAGTTGATTGTAAACAATGAAATGTGTCACGTGGTCAAACATTAACGTGAACATAAAAGTTTACTTTACTGCAATCATTGTTTCTCTTTTTTTCATTCTCAAGAAAATATCTAAAGGTGCACTGGGTGTTTTCAGGTGGAGGGTCTACCAGATATTTGTACTCTTCACTTTTTACTTTACTGCTTGTCTCTATGGAGTTAGGCAAGTTTATGCCTTACTATGGAACATTCCAAGCAAATCAGCAGCATCTTTATGGATTAACAGAAGACACACCCTTTATCAGTTTAAAATGTATTACAGTTTCACTTATGTCTATACTGTACTGCTACAATGCATACACTAATGGTGAACAATTTATCAAAATCTTTTTTATTTCTTCAACAACAATACAATATGTCACAGAAAATCACAGAGGGATTTAAGACAGGTCTGGCTCAGGTTTTTTCTATGTGACTTCTCAAAGAAACAAGTGCAGCATGAATCAAACAAGTCAAGAGAACAAAAGGACATAAATACAGTCAAATAATTCAAATTAGACAAGACATGGGAAAGAAAACAAACCACGCCTTTACAAGTCAGATCCCCAAAAGTCTCAACAATAACATGAACAATCGCTTATGTTCATAAACCACTAATGCCTCACCATTCATGAGTTTTATACAATGAAAGAGAGCTGGAAAAGAGCTAATTTTGATACAGTACAAAGACATCATTTCATTTATGTAACCAGTCTTGTTATGGGTTGTAAAAGCACCAGAAATGTGAGTGTTGAGTCCATACATGATTTAATGCTGTTGATGAGGGGCACTGAGGCAAGGAGGGGTCTAGCACCATGTAAATAAACCTGCCCCCAATTGCACTTGCCCTCTCTACTCTCTTTTACCCTTGTACTTTTGAAAATACCTTGTAGCCCCTTCTTACATGAAGTACCTTTGATATGCAATAAATATGTCAGAAAAACAATGTACACTATAAATAATGTTAGCATTTACAATTTTCTCTAATATCCAACGAAAATGACAACAAAAAAGAGGTATAAAAGTGGGTTCAGAGCCCCACAATTCAATTAAAGAGAGTATTTATGAAGATATTAGAATATAGCAACAACAAAGCCGAAGCAAATGACTGAAGTATTCAAACAATATAAACAATACATTTGACTGAGAACAAAACTACATTGGTTCTTGCATTAGACTTTTAAACAATACATTATGTACATTGCATGGTGTGCACAGAGTGATGGGCGTGGGCAGAGCCAAGTTTGAAACATTCTATACACCAGTGAATTGGAAAATGTATTGTTAAGATGTTCACTGTTACACCTGTCTAACTGTGAGGTAAACTGAATTTATATAACAGTACTGTGCAGAGCTTGAGAAAACCTAAAATGCAGTTAAGAGCTCAATAAATAGAGAATTTAGCTTTTTAGTTGTAAATGCTTGGAAAATGCTTGGATCCAGCTTTGTCTTAAAGTGGTTCTGTATAATTTTGCAATACAGACCCATTGGCTATATAGTTAAATGCTTTTGCGCAGTACTGTCTATATAACAGATTGAGTCTTTATGTCTATTTACATGACATTTGAACTGTAAAACAACTGTCTGTATGTTTAAAAACAGACTTTACTTGATTTAAGTGCTAACAATGAACATGTAACCTAAGTGGACAGAGAAGTGCACACTGAGAGAACATTTTGGAGAAGTAAAATGCTGCAGCTCACCCGCTCGCCCTCACTGGCTTGCATGCTTTGATTGTGTGTCTCTAGGGACATTATTACTTAATCAGACTTCAAGGAGCTCAGCACATACCCCTTACTTTGTACTGCATCTATGCACACCAACGAGAACTCTATAAATTAATGCACAATTTACAATTTCTTATCTAATAACAAGAGAACACAAGAGGTATAAAACTGGGACTGTATTCCCATTCCAAAAATAAAACTGTGTTTTCATTTGTGTACAATAGAAACAACACCAAACACCGTTATCTGGAAATAGAATTGTAGTTTCCCACACAGACTTCCAACTAAGAATAAAACCATATTAGTCCTTTAGTAAACCCGTATTTTAGAGAAAATGTTTCCATTTGTTTGTATAGTTATTACATAAAAATGTGTCTTAAGTTTGAACCTCCAATTACCACTCCTCTAAATACAGTTCACAAGGCCAATGTGGTGTACTTCTAGGCTGGTATGTTATTTTTTAAGTATCTAAGCGGAATAAATATGAATTGGATAGCACCTCGAAGAGTATACATACAGAAATTACAAGTGACAATGTTACCTGAATACCAAAACAAAAACCAGTAGATGCCAAATGTGACAATCAGCTACTTGTGAGAAGAGGTCCCCCTGCTGGTACGACAGAATCACAGCAATGTCATGGACACAGAATAACTAGATTGGTGTAGAAAAGTTCCTAGTAGTAAATTTGCATAAAAGTACCTGAATTACACATAAAACCGGCTACTTGACGCTTTTGAAATCACAGCAGTGTCCGTTGAACAAAGAACCTGATTTTCAGTGCTAGCAAAGCTCACATTTATTTGTAAAAATGCTTCTTATATGAAAAATTAACCATTCTAGTCATTCTATTTCTACAACACACGTCCAATCAGCAGCTGGGGAAGACAGTGAGCTATTGTTGGATTGGCTGAGTATCCATGTTGTGTTTGTGTGATGTAAACAATACCGAGTAAACGTGATTGGCTGAAAAACAGGAACAGATTGCCTTCAGGACAATGTTTGTGCTGCCATTAGAGTTTTGGTTATGGCTGATAGACACCAGGGAGGAGCTGTCACTTTGGAATCTGCATTGGTGCCTGCGGAGGAGAGAATAAAAGAGTCAGCTGTGAATAGCACCAGAATAACACACATTCTACTTGTTATACTCACTTGAAATTAAGTGAGCATCTATGTACAAGTTATCTCCATGCTATATTAGTATGATAGTTTACTTTTTGTATGTTTGTAATCCAAATTCACTTAACCTTTATTCATAATAACAATACAATGTTGGATTAGGATGGTGACTTTCAAAGTACTCTGAAATACTTAAAAGTACTTTGCACTACATTATCGATTCCCTCCCCACAATACATCTCAGTAAGATACTTCGAACCACAACTGCCCTGGGGTAGACTGACAGAGGTAAAGCAGTCAATCTGCACCATTTAATCACCACTAATCTGACTCACACATCACATGAATAAATTGGTGAGGCGGGTGAAGTGTCTTAGTATTGATTACATTGTTCATAGAAAAGTAGATGCTTTTGTAAACACTTGACACTGACCAAAGTGAAGGTGTCATAGGTCCTCATCAGCTCCTCAATACGATACTGTTCCAGCACCACTACTCCTGTGAGGGCTGGACTCTTCCTCCGCGCACAGTCCTCGCAGTGCACCACATAGGACTTTTTACTGCTGCTTTCACTTGTTACAAACAGCAGGTTAAATACCTCCAGCTGCACACAAACAAGAGTCTCCTTAAGTCTAGGTTTTAGGATGAATTTAAAAGTATTTAAAAACTCTTACGTCACACTCATTGCAGTAATAAGCGGGCTCGTCCTTCACGCGGCTCTGATAGGAGATTTTCTTTCCAGATGCTACCAGCTGGTCTCTGAGAATCTGGATGTGCTTGATGGATTGCATCAGGCAGTGTCTGAATAAGATGGCAAGAAAAGGAGACATTTTTAAAAAGTGAAATAAAACTCAACCTGCAGACAAATATACTCAGAAGAGGGAGATCTTGTTTTCTACTGTATGTCAAGCCTAATAATAATTTTAGGTAATGGTTAGACCTGGTCACTGGGAAGGCTGCCATTTTACAAAAACATGTGTCTCTCAGAACTCTCTTAGAAGTTCTCAAAACTTTCCACAAAACTTTAACATACAGCAGATACATTCAAAATGTATTTAGTCAGTTTGCAGTACTGTTTTTAAAAACAGATTCTATATTGCCCTCAGTAAAGCCAGAACTTACTTGATCAACTTATGCGTGTCTGGGTCTGTGATCTTGATGGTTCGAGCCACATTCCATGAAACATGGATCATTGGGACGATTGACTTAACCTTCTTCACCTCATTCCACTCAAAGCGCTCCAGAGCCAGCTGATACTGGTATGCTGAAAGAGAAAATAAACCAGACAGCAGTGGGTGAGGATGGCGGCATGTGGGCCACTAGATTTAATTAGTAATATGAGATAACATCTTGCTTGGTAACTCACAGTTTAGTGGACCCACATTCCAGGCGATGTTGTTGCACCAGCCCACAGCCTGAACCCAGTGCACAGTCCCCGCATTGATCCAGACCAGGTCGCCCGGTCTCTGGATGAAGCGGTAAACAGGGATATTGGAGCTGTAGAGGTCTTCAAGGACTGGCCACCATGACCCAGTTAGGTAGTCTACACCATGTCTGAAGACAAATACAATTAAATCAGTTAAATTGGCAGTTATATGGAAACTGCCCACATAGTCCCTTCTGCTGCTCTGATATTGCATTGCTGTTGTTGATACCACAACACAGAAACAACTGGGATTGTATGCTGATGCTGTTGTTGATGTTTAGAATATACTGCATCTCAACCAGTAGAAATTCAAATCATGCAGGCCCTCTGATGTGAACAAAAAAGCAGACCCATTATACTCACTTCTCACAAAACTTGTTGATAGACTCCCAGTAATTTTCATGAACAGCAAACCATTCACAGTCACCAGGTCCAATATTGATGTTGACTGAGCAGAAATTATTGTTTTCTTGGTGACCTTATGGAAAAAAGTTACACATAATTTTAGATTAATCAAAATTTGAATGCAGAGGAAATATTATCCGAGTGCCTTGTATGGACAGATACCTGGAGTGCGACTGCCTGGCACCTTCATGTAGAGCTGCACAGTGTTCATGCCCAGGATGGTGTGACCCACGTGGCTCAGCATGTTGTTACTGGACTCCACTCTCATGAATGCTGGCAGCTTCAGCAGCTCCTGCAACTGTGGCTTCCACCTGTTTACACACAACAGGTCAGATAGCAAAGGCAATTAATCAAGTCAAAACATACAAGCAATAAAAAATACATACAAACAATATTCATAATGACAAGAGATGAGTAAACAATCCTCAGCTTTCTATTTTTCCTCTAACCTGGCCAGCAAGATGAATTCTCATGATAGTTGTGAGCTCAAAACTTATAAGAATCCATCTGACTGAGCTTCCACTGTCGCAATTGGGCCCGCTTAACCAGTTGGTCAGAACAATCACAGAGCAGTATTGTGGTTTGGGCAGAAGCCAAAAATGAACTACTCAAACAAACCAAAACAAAGATGGCAGTGCCAATGGATGTACCACCTATTTTAGTGGAAATATGCATTATTTTCTTTCTACAGAGGCTACTTGATTTATGCATTTATGGATGAGAAATATGTGTTTTCTCTAAAATGATATAAACAAAAGTAAAATTTCTTTGCTTGTTCTGCTGCAGTAATGCTTCGTCCCATCAGCTTCAGATATTCATCATGACATCCATCCTTTTCTCAAATCAATTCAGAGTGATACAGAGTGATCAGTCTGGTGTTAGCTTGATTATCTTCCCTGTATTTTGTTGAAAAACATATTTATCCCTATTGGATCTCACCTTTTAGGATCAGAGAGATCAATATTGGTCCCAAATTTTATAACCTTTCCTACTGGTTTCTGCTCTGAGCTGGAAAAAAAACAAGACTCAAGTCAGTATTATTTTAAGAAGTGGTGCTAATTTTCTCAAGCAGCATCAGTACTTGAGCTAACCTGGTGTTATTGGTACCAAGACCTTTACTAGCTGCAGAACTGACTTTGGCTGAGGTGCTTTTACTATTTGCTAATGATACAGATTTAGTTCGAGCAGATTCAGTTGACTTGTCTTCATCTTCCTCTTCTTCAGTCTCACTCTCTTTCTCATCCTGTAAGACATTTATATTGGTTAAAAATAAATTATATATATAATAATAATAATTATTATATATATTATTATATAATTATAATTATTATATAATAATTTATTTCTTGTCACTGTGTTAGCTCAAAGCAGAACAATGCACACCTCTAGACTCTCCTGGAAGCTGGAGGCCTGATATTGGGCATATTTGGCAATTGTGGTGTGTGAGCGGCTGCTTTCACAGGGCCATGTCTGAGAGGAGCCTTTCAGATCCCAGTTCTCGTCGGCGGGCTGTTGGACCTGAGTCCGCACCTCCACTGCATGGTCGGAGTTTGCCTCCACCAAGGACTTGGTGGAGAACAATCCAAGATCTAGTAAACAGAAAAAAAAAAAACATTGATAATCATCACTATAAGCACTGCAATAAAATGCAATATTATAATTCCAATATTATATATTATATACTAATATATTTTCAGTTAGGCTCTCACTCTTAAATGTCTTTTAGTATTTTATAAACCAATAGCAATAGCAGTAAAAACAAATATGCAGGTTATGGTACACTTCACTGTTTGCCCCCATGGGGAAATATATCCTCTGTATTTGACCCATGCTTCACTGGGCCAACTACTAGTATGTCAATAGCAGTGGGTTCAATCTTGATCAGATCTTGAGCTAGGCTTGGTCAGGATTACCTGAGCATGACAATTTCAGCTACTATATATTCTTTGAGTGTGATACAGGCAATCTTATGTCACTCACAAATATGTAAAAGCTAAAATAAATAAATACAGTAAGTACAATGTGTATACAAAAATAAAACAACAACAAACAAAGCAGTGAAATGTAAAGTCAATAAAAATAAACTTACTGAGACGGAGGGAGCCAGCCAGTCCTCTGATGACAGTAACAGCATTTTTAGGATCTGTACAGAACTGAAGGAGGACTGGAGAGAAGGCATCTCGCTTGCTCTCTAACTGTAAACACAACTCATAATTATTTTTTCTAGAAATGATGTAGACATGCATATATACAAATACATTCAATGCAATGAGCATTTTGTGATTATGAATGATTTTTTATGCAGTTTGGTGAGGTAATGTATGTAGAGAACTTACATAAATACTGGGAGTGGGAGGGTTGAGTTTGTCCCGAGGAATTGGGATTTGAACTTCAATGTTGGGCTTAACAGAAAAGGCCGGGAGCAGGTATGACTCCTTAAATTTCCCCTTCACCCTGACTCCCCTAGAACACAGAGATAAAAAGGCATGCATAAAGCCATGATTCATCAAAAAAAAAGAAAAAAAGAAAAAGAAACGTCTTTTGCACATTAATATTAGATGCTAGACTCACTTGCAGGCTTTGATCAGCTCAGAGGCCGTGTTGTGAATGCTGATTGTAGACAGAGGAATCCGCTGCTCCTCTACTTCAGATATGTTGTATGTTTGGCGCCCATCACTCTTGACTCGGACCAAAAGGATCTTAACCTCCTTGGACATGCCCAGAGACAGAGCTTTCAATTTGAGAGGGTCTTTTGGAGGTACTGGGGGTTTTGATGCTGGTGCAGTGACACATAATTTTGTCAGATTGATTGTTATAGTTGACCTTGAGGTCTTGTTTCCAGCTGCCTTTGTGATGTTTTTCTCATTCTGTTTTGTGTTTACAGTAGTGTGTGTGGCCTCCATGCTACCAATGTGTGGCTTCTTGTCTGCTTGGATGTCTTTGCTGTGTGAAGTTTGGTTTTCCTGAGTCTGCCCTTTCATGCTTTGTTGTAGGAGTTCTCTGCAGATGACCGGCACTGAGAATGAAACAGGCTTTTTACATTCAACTTTAATTTCATTTGTTTTGTTTTTATGACAAACAGCACTGCTTTCTGTTTTGTTTTTCTTCATTTTTGTTTCTTCTTCCTGGTTTCCATCGTGAGCTGGATGTTTTCTCTTTCTGTCCGAGTCAGGGCACTCTAGATTTGCAGTTCTTTCCTCTGTTTTGGCAGGCATGTGGATAAAGCCTGGGAGCGCAGTTGTGTGTGTTGTGGTTAGTGTGAGCTCAGCGCTTAGTGAGCTGTCCAGAAGAGGGGCCTGCAGCTTTTCATTATCGCCCTCCATATTGTTTTCTTTCTCTTCTTTCACAATACCATCTTCTTTTTGCCTTTTCTGCATGGGGCTATCATTAAAAGATGGACTCAAAACTGCACCTGAGGTAGAGTGAGCAGGTAACTCCTTAGTGGGTGTTGATGAAGAGGAGGCATCTTGATTCTCAAGACTGTGAATGTCTGGTTGTATTGAGAGAGATGAAGAATATTTCACTCCTTTTGAGTCCACACTAGGAGGCCCGCCAAAGGGACCACCCCGACACGGAATCCTCTGCCCTCCAAGAAAAGTGGCCAAGCTTTTAAAAACATCATCCATACCTTTTTTATGATTGTACACCAGACTATTGCTTTCTACCTTGTCTACTATAATGGGAAGCTCAAATGTACTATCTTTTGTGATTACATCAGTGTTACCATCAGAATCCATGTTATGTTCAGGACAAGGGGACTGCGTCGGGCTAGGCTGCAGGACAGGTCTACTTATTACTCCCTTTTCCAGTTCGTCATCATCTTCTACAGACACTGGAGAGCCTTGCCAACTTAGCACAGGTGGACTGTTTGCAGTATTGTCCATAGAATCCCTCAAACTTCCCATGATGCCTACAGGCTGCAGATCTGGGGCCTTGAGAATGGGTCTTTTCCCAATCTGGTTCCCACGGATGGGTTGCTCCAAGCTTACAGAACATGCTGTGCTGAGTGGCTCTAAGGCTTTGAACAGTAAGGAAGGGAGTGCATCTTGAGAGCTGGCGTGTGTGCCTTCCAGTACAGACGTGGTCTTTTCTACTGTCCTATCCTGCCTGTGTTTTGAATGGAGGGATCGCTTTAGTTTCTTCTTGAGGTGAGCCTTTGAGCTGGTGCTGTTCTTTTTCAGGGGTTTATGATTATCAGATTTGCAGGACTGCTTTGCTGAGGTGTGCCTGTCTCTACCGGGCAATGAGTGGATTTTAGAAGTATTCTGGATATTTGCAGCCAGTCTGTGGGATGCCTTGTCAGCCAGTTCACTTCTTTCTCTGCGTTTGCGATTTTCTGATATTTTTACTTTGACCTCTACTGTAGAACTGCATCTGGAGATGGAAGTAGCACCCTCATTTGAATCAATTCCTTTTCTTAATGCTTTAATTTTCTTTTTCTTCCTCTCATCTGAGGACTTCCCTTCTTTTTTCCTTCGCTGTTTTCTTTCTTCAGTCTTTCTGTCATCTTTATCTTCACCTGTTCGATTCTTTTTATCTTTTAGTTTTCTCTCTTTAGACTTAAGCTTGTTTTCTCTGGACTTGTGAGAGGACTGTTTGGATGTCAGGTGCTGTGGGATCTTCCTGCTCTTTTCTGAGGAGCCTGTGCTAGTGGATAATGTTACAGAGGGACTGGATCTTGGACTATGACTAGGACTCCTGTGGGCTTTCTGATGAGAACTTTTGCCAGGACTACCACGGTGGTTGATGGGGGAGCCTTCTCGTCGATGTGAAGCGGGACTGCATGGGGCATTTGGGCTGTTGGCAGTGGAATGTGTGGATGAAACAGTTGAAGCGTCTGCAGCAGAGGACTTGGAGGGACCTGGATCCCTTGAACTTCCCCAGTGCTGAGCCCCCTGGACAAAAACATAAAATATTTGTTTTGTGCAAAATAGAGAAATATAACAGCCTGATTTGTTATTGCTTTGTCTGGCTTTGTCTTTCACAGTATGGTATTAAACCTTTCTATTTTCATGGATACCCAACCAAACCAAGGTAAAGGTCAGATCTGTGGAGAGGCAACCCCACTCAGTCAGAATGCCTGTTTTTCTAGGTATTTTTGCGCTATAAACCATCTGTAATTTCATAATTAAAATGTTAAAAATTAATATAAGGTATAGCAGTTTAAGGTTATGCTATGGAACATTCCAGATAAAGAAATGACATATCCATAAGGGTGTCAGACCCCCAACTAAAGAGTTACATAGTGCAGCTTTAATGCAGCTTCAGATGACATTTTACCAATACATCAAGAATGTGCTAAAATGTTGCAGTAACTGTCTTGATTGAGGTTCAGTTATTGAAATGAACATAAATGGATCAAAACATTAACCTCTGTCTCTTTTTCTGATATTTTTTTAATAGTTTTAATAATAGACAATATACTTAATAATTTGGACTAACTGCAAAACAACTGCAATATTTTACTGTAAGTTTTTCAATATATCTCCCATTTCCTGCTAACACTCATAAATCATTTTTAATCTTAGGCAAAATTTTCTGCAAAGTTTTATTACTGTGTCCAGTTGATTAGCATTGTCCAACTACTTGAAAAACAATATTATAGACAGCTTCTTACTAGTCTTTGCTTGTAGTTGCGTGAGTCCTTGTCCTCCACAGGGTGCGGTGGGGAGTTGTGCTGTTGTGTTCTGCTGAGGCCAGTGTGCCGTTGATGGTGGTGGGGGTTTTGGTGACTATAAGGCACACGAGTGTGATCTGCTGGTGAACAGGGGGTCTTACGTTCGTCTTTTCCCCTGCCTTCATGATGTGGGGGTCGACTCAAAGATGTTACATTGCTTTTCCCTCCAGAATGTGGTTTTAAGGATTCCTTCAACAGTATTTAGTGTCAGCATGAATATTATGTCATTTCATAAGTTATATAAGTTAAAAATTGACTATACCTGATGCTGAGAGGTTGAGGGCCTAGAGTCAGAGTACTGTCCTGGCCTGTCTCCCAGATTTTTCCAGTCTTCTTGGTTGCTGCGGTGGTACCGTGATGGTGACGGAGGATGGGTAGGTAATGTTGAATGCCTTGAGCCAGGATGAAATGACTAAAAAAGAAAATATGAAAAGTGGCCACATTATAACTGGCATTAAAGTTAGAATTAATGTTAAAGCTGCAATATAGATACAAAAATGTTACATTGCAAAGTGGTAAGAGACATAATATTTTCTTTAAGAATATGAAACAATGATCGTAGAAAGGCTCACAATCGTTATACATGTATGTTGTCATAGAAACAAAATGTGTGCTTTGTCTTCTTTCTTTTTTCATCTTAACACATAGCCACCCCAGAGTTGACTCAATGTCCACACTTTTCTACAGTGAAAGAATCTCTCCTTTGTCAGGGTCTTGGCCACGTGCTCTCACCTGCTCAGAGTCCCTTCTCCTCTTGACTGGACACTCTTCTCGAGGGGACAAAGGTTGAGGTGGGCTGTGCTGGTGAAACTGCTCTCTACGCTGGTGGAGGGCGGGTCGTTTCCATGGTAACGGTCTGTTGTTTACCAGTCTACCTGGAAAACTCCTTCTACAATCTGACGGGGCAAATCTATCCGGCAGTGACGGGAGATCTCTGCTGCGATGAGGAGGCTACAACACACAGCCAACATTAAAGCAAACCTATTATATAAAATTTACTTTTCAGAGCTTTTAACCATATTATAGTTGTTTTCCTTCTCATTTACCCTCAAAGTGTATTTGGAGTGATTCGTGCATGTTTGAGCAATCTTTAATCACTTATTTTCAAGACACCATATTGCCTATGAGTCCCATTTTCACTGCCACCGGCATACGCCCACTGCTTTGTACTTGTTATCCAATTAAATTTTCTTAATCTGTGATGTGCAGGATTCGGCAGTGTTGTGTAGTCATTTTGGTACAAATGAAAAAAAAAAAAATAGGAGGAGCCGACAGCTACATGACCGATGTGATGATATTTACGCCGACGTAAACTCCCATTGAGGACCACAGTTCCCTAATGCAGAAGTCAGCAAACATGTTTCTTTTAAGTAATTTTAGATTAATATTGCTTTTTAAAATGTGCAAATTATAACATAATGATCCATGGAATGGCATTAAACAAAATTCTCTCCATGGAGACAAGCAGATGATGTCACCAGGTCAAGTTACAGATTAGATCTGTGGACAGCATAGAGCACAACCCCACACACAGTAAGAATGCCTGTGTATTTTCTATACAAAAAACACCAGTAACTGAACAAATTCAAGATACATATGTTTAACGTCTTACGCATTCCAATTAAAGCAATATCTCCATGGAAACAGGTGGCGGACTCTCCACCAAAAAAGTTACATAGTGAACCTTTAATCTGATATCTGAACATACAAAACAGTTCTGTATGTGTGTTTTGCACAGCAGTTCTTACCAAAGAGTTACCATTGTTGTTCCAGTTGGTGTAGTGCTCTCCCGGCCCTGGTAGATACCCGCTGCCCCCTCTACTATGGAAAGAGCGCATAGAATCATGGTGCCAGCTCTGGGTCTTGTATGGCTGCTCTTTGCCATCCCAAACACGCATGGGGTGCCCCTTTGATAGATTCTTGCCTGGGACATGGCCAACTGATCTGTCCTCTCTGAGTAAAAACCACAAGCATAAAAGCTAACCAAGTGTTGTGGTGTTGTGTTAGGGAAAAAAAAAAAAACATGGGTGTGAAATGCAGCACTAACCTATTGTAGAGGCGATATGATGGTGGATGGTGTGGTTGGTTGCGCCCCTCTTGGCATCTAGAAGAAAAAAAAACAGTAATTATTGTTAATATAAATATAAGATGTTATGGTATCTCAGGAGAGCTGCATAGTTAGAACAGATGCTGGTGTTGCTACAGGGACATAACAATAGTAATGACACTCATTTGTGTAGTGTATATGTATATAAATGTATGTTCGTGATAGGAAATTGCTGTTTTGTTGTGTCTTATCTCCATGGAAGCTTTTCTTTCCCACCATAATTACATGTCTAAGTTTTCTTCTATCATTGCCATTTACTTGGAAGTCCAGACTGCAACAATTAAGGACTAAAATGTCAAGCCATAACCCCAACCGCTTGTTTTATTTTGTGTCTCAAATGAGGCAGGGAAAATATTTATATATAAAATACCTGCATAGTTCAAGACGCTGTGTTGTACGTACCAATTCTCAACAAGCAGGATTTACCTTTTCCAGCAGTTATCCCCCACAGCATCACACAACAATCCAATGCAATAAAACCCAGGTTGGGATTATTGTACCACTAAACTCCCTAATTATTGCTTAACAGCCAAATACACAGCAACACATTAAAATCCATCTACTCTCAACATTGAGTATTCAAGTAGAAGCTTCCCAAAAGTGTTCCCAAATAATAATCATTCATTTCATTTCACAATCTAACCAGTTATATGTAAATGATTAATACTTTATACACGTTTAGTCTTAGTAATAGAATATGTAGGGATAGGAAGATTGTACTACTGTACTGTGGACATCTCCAGCTTGTTGATAGCCTTATGTCATCAAATGTTATAATACAAAGGAAGCATGCCCAGACTTGAATGTGCAATACTACCCTAAAAGAAATTAATTTATCTTTGTAACTCTCAAGAATACTTGAATCCACTTTTGTACAAAATGAAAATGAATTTGGGTTTTTTTCCCTCTCTCTCTTTTAATGTTAATTATTATTTGATGATTGTTGTTGTTTGTTTTGATTTCTTTGTATTGTAATTTTAATGTCTTTCTTATTCTGTAAAGAATTACTTTGTGTATGAATTGTACTATACAAATAAACTTGTCTTACCTTGCCTTGCTATTTATGTAATCTAACCACACTTAAGTTGTTCTTCAGGTCAAGTTGGAGTTTTCTATTAAAAGAGCAGCTATGACATGACTGTTCATTTGTAGCACAAATCTCTAATCAGACACTAATAGCTCTAGCCATCATCATATTCATTGCAGTCACAATCAGCTTCCTCATTCAGAGTCCTGGTTCTCACACTGCAGATGGAGACATGCTCCCAGCTGCAGCTCAAGAGACACAAGATGAATAGGCTCATTACAGCCAGTTCATCAGTCAGCTTCTAATGTGTTTCTGAACTTGAATCAGTGCAAACCTCTACTCTTGGCCCACAACGATGACCCTTTGCACACAGAGATAGCGTCACAAGTATGCATGTCCAATGCAACTTTTCCAGATAAAGATTTTGTTATTTTGAAGCGTCAATTTTGTATTACTATATTTCTGTATTTTATTTTTATTTATAGATACACATTTGTATAATTATACCTTATTTGACACCAGTCTCTTGCTATGTTTGCTACTTATTTTGAATTATTACAATCGTTATAATAATTATTATTAGAATTTATTTTTGTTTTCCCTTACAATCAATAAAGTTTATCTTAGTCTAAGTCAATAATCAGCTTTCATAATTAACCGGTAGTCCACAGTCAATCCTTTATCTGTAAAAGTATGTGGTTTGGAGCAGAGTTTGGACTTTGGAGGAAGAAATTTGACTATTTTTGTGTGAATGGCACTGATTAAAAATCTGAATTATTTATATTATTAATACTGAAAGCCATTTCACAAACTAAACTGAGTTGAATAGTTTTCAAGCTTCACTCTCATTGCCATGCAGTTTTATTCAGCACGCAAGTGACATACTGTATAAGTTGAATTAATTTAGGTGTAAACCCTTTTATTTTGAACAGAAATAGCTCAGTTTGATATCTGTGGCACTAGATAAACAAATAGTAAAAGCTTAGATAAAGGTTTGAGTTTTGCAATAGTGCTACTGACCTTTGAGCGTGGCTCCAGGGCCGACTCTGTACAGAGGGCCACTGTCCTCTGTTAGGTCCTCCAGCTGGGTAGGAGTCCCATGTGTTACGGCCTGAGTACAGCTCCGCGGGGTGATACATGCAGCCTGCCACAAAGAGAGTGTCACTGGACAACACTGAACAGCACGAACACATGCATACACACACACACACACACACACACACACACATACATACATACAGGGATTTCCTCATAAGTGCTGTATAAGGAATCCCCTACACATTATACTTGGATCTGAAAACTTTGCTGTACACCATATGTAACTACGGGTAAACTGCTAAGGTATTATATTCAGTCACATTTAACAATGTAGAAGTCAGAAGTGTACTGCAGTGTAGTATTGTGATCAGTATTATAATTTATTAGATTTGCAGTAAACGTTTATAATGTTGGATTCTGTTTGGTGTGCACATTGTAAACAATTCCAGTTGATATAAGACAGAAATATGAACTAATAAACATATTCAAGAATCACATTCATATAAGAACATGTTTGAAGAGATCTAAACTACAGGTACAACAAGACTTCCTTATAAAAAATGATATTTTGTTCTCTGCAGGGGACATTCTATTAACTAAATATTTGCAGCCTTTGTGATTTAATAAATACATTGCAATACATAGTGCAGCCCTACTACAGATGTGTGACTACAGCGTGTGAAAGCTCCTTTTGTGTTTTTGTTAGCTGCGCTGGACCTGTTCAGTGGACATATCATCAGTCAGCCACAGCTGCATTGGGCATTCTGCCTCTCTAATCACTGCTTCCCAGCAGCCACCACAGCCAGTGGCCATGCAGAGACAGACACAACATGCACTAAGAGGAAAGACCATGGCAACCTCACTGTAAGAACAAAGAGAGGAAACATGAGCAGAGACTGAAAGACTCAATAAGTCTCAGCTTATTTACAAATATCTGCTTTAAAGTCTTTTAAAATCATGTCCCATGTCTAACAAGGGTTATTAAAAGTAGCGCTGCAATAGGAACTTCACTTTTATTAATGGATTTCTAACAGCTTCTTAACTTAAGCTGCAAATTAGAAGGTGTCTATATTTTATACTATACTTTATACTATATATTTTATACTATTAGTATACATTTTACAGTGTTGTTAAAAAGATTCTGTTTTATTGAGCATCCCCACTTGTTGGGTTTGTTCCACAAAGGTTTGTTTGTGATGACATGGGTGTTGCTCTGCTACAATGACCCCACTGTGAGTGGTGAAAGAGCTAAGTGAATGACTTTAGAGCAGTTCCCTCTGGTTAGAAAGGACACCAAACAGATACACTTTACTGCAAGGGCCTCTGGCTTTTTAGAGTCAGCTATCAGATATTACTCTTACTGGAAGAAATGGACAAAGAGTTCCTATGCACTGACAACATTAGCCTCAATACAAAATGCTGCACAAACTGTGTGATAATATCTTAACATCCTGTTTATAAAGTGTATTCATGTGTTCAGGACTGTAGCTACCAGCTGATGCCCAGTAGTATTAAAATAATGTATCCATGATGAAATATTCATACATAGCAGTATTCTTGTGAGAAATCTTGCCTCCTCACTGCTTGGTATGCTGCAAGCAATACATTGTTAGACACCATGTTTCAATTGCTCTGTTTGTTTGACAAGAAAAGACTGCTATTCTCGCCTTAACCCTAAGCTCGCTACAAGGGAAGATTATAACAGCTACAGAGAGCCCATCTGGTTTAGACCTTCCCATTTGCATTGTGGAATTTACTTTTTTAGCACAGTTGTAATGCCTTGCTTCCATTTAACTTTTAAATGTGACTGCCTAACAATGCTGCTGTGCTGTGTATTGAATCCATATGTGTAGAGTTCATTGGAGACATCTGGAATCAAACTCAGAGGCCAAATGATGTCATGAACAGAAAGGTTAACTTTGCTGTTAGGCAAAAGCTTTGTTTTACAACAGGATAACCCAAGACAAAGAATGTGCAGTGCAAGCACACATCCAACAATTAATCTGAGCAGTGTTAAAAGTCAGCTGCCACAAAGTGATAAAACTACAACACCATTTCCGTCACCAAGGAAACCCCGGTGAGGGATTTTTCTACAGAGGAAAAATTCTGCATTCATTCATGTGTCTGCAGAACACTTTTTGTCCAGTGAGGGGTTTCTATGGTATCTGCATCACAGATTTATTGTCTTAACTATATTTATGTCAAAATGCATTTGAGTTACCTTCACAATGACTGCTGAAGAAAAAGGAGGCAGATTTCCTGGTCCAACTTCGACACTGTCAGGTAAAGATTGCAAGACAGCAGACTTCTGCAGGCTCCGATCTCTTTAAATAGACATGCTCGCTCCCACTGGCTTTTGGAAAACACAGAAACATAGAGTGAAGGGAGTGAGGAAATACCCCAGTCAGTTGGTGCACACATGTACAGGTCAGAAAGAATGTGCTGTGTTGTTCACGGTCTCCCAGCCTCTCCTCAGATATCACTGTTATGTACCTCACTTGTTTTCTCTGACTGAGGACATGTGTTTCTGGACAGTAATTACTGCAGTTCTACCCTCTCAAAACAAAGACATTTGATATGAGAAATTAAGATATAAACATGCTCAGTTTATTTAGTTTGTCCTTCTACTGTGTGAATATTGCTTTACAATCTTTACAACTTGTCTTAAATGAGACCTTTCTGATATCTAATATCACAGCCTTCTTTTCTCTTGCTTGCACAGAGTATTGCCTGGCTTTGCCTCACCCCCCTCCCTTTCTACATGCTGTGTCCTTGTATCCGTGGCAACCGATGATATCATTTCGTCCAGAGCCGGGAGCTTCCAGCAAGGTGTGGAATGTTAGCATGCACATGTGAGTGGGAATGGGCTGCATAAAAGATTGAAATATCTTACATGAATCAGTGAGTAAAATGTGAATTGTGGTGTTTATCTAAAGGCAAAAGTCCAACTATTTAATGTGAAAACATACAGCCCACTATAATGATGGTAACTGTGTTCTTGGGTGCTGCAGCAGACAGTTGCAGGAGTGCTGTTCATGTCTCACCCAGATCTTAGTGTAATTATGGTGTAATTGTCATGTAATATAGTGTTCCTGTGTGTGTATATGTGTGCTGCAGGAAGGATACAGATCCTATGCCATAAAAGGAAGGATGGGCTGCACCAGACCAGGCCTGTCTCTGGTGGCTCCTACAGCCGCTCACTAACACAAGGAGTGCAGACATGGTGGGAACAGATGGAGCAACATGGCACAGACACCGGCAGACCAGCTCCACCAACGCACAAGTGGACAGTGTGTCATGTCAATAGAAGTGGGACTAAAATAGTGTCACAATCACAGAGAAGCAACATACAGTATCTGATTTTCTAAAAATAACATCCCCACAGCCTGCACAGCTCCGTCCCCTTCTCCCCTTCCATAAAAGCCGCCTGAGCCAGCGTGTGCTCCATAAAGCACGGCCCTCCGAGGGGTACTGGAATGTACCAAGGCAAGGTCAAGAACAAGAAAGAGGGGTGTCTCTCAACAGACAATGCCCCATAGTCACAAATTTATGAACAAAAGCAGTGGATCGGGTTAACCGGTTCAAAGATGGCTGTGTTTGTGTGTGTGTCTGTGTGCTAGACAGCTTCCTGGTGAGGTTGCCATCTCGGATGAAATATCCAGGTGGTTGTCTAAGCCTGGGGTAATACCGGCTGATTTACCTGATAAAAGTCCCTGTTTTAGGTCATATATTAAAGGCATCTCATTTATAAATACGATTTTAAACAACTTAACATATATACATTGGTGTCACTCTGGGCAAAGCTAAGTTTTATTAAAGGCAAGCCCAGAATGCCTCCAAGTCTAGACTTGAATTCAAATGAGATTAATCTTAGTTTACCTACTAAGCACTATCAGCCTCCAAACACCCACTGTGTGTCTGCTATTCAACAGTTATAGGCGAGTACAGCTGTAACCACAACACTGTGCTACTGCAACAGTTCCCTTCGCCTCCACATTCATCATTTCTAAATTCCTGCTCCTACACTCAAGTGTGTGCACGTAAGCCCTGTGTGTGTGTGTGTGTGTGTGTATGTGTGTGTGTGTGTGCGTGCATGTGAGCTCTGCGTGTGTGTGTCTGTGTTTCATGCATGAATGTGCAGCACAGTCTGCAGACAGCTACTGCAGTGTCTTCAGTCAAGACACACCACAGCAGATTAAGGCATGGCTCAAAAGGACAAATCAAGAGAAAAAAGCAATCGCATTCACTCCTATGGAGTGTCACTGTAGGCAGGACATTTAAATTAAAGAGACAAGCGCCTGAACATCCTGTGAAGTGAGCGACCGCTCTCTTTACCTCTTTCAGTGAGTGCTCTTTGGTCCTCACACCCTCTGCGACCCTTGTCCCCTGGTCCTCCCTTTCACTCCTCACCACCTTGTCTCTCCCGGTCCTCTCCTGTCTCCTTTCTTCCCCTTTCCTCCTCTTCCTGTTTCCACTCCGCTCTCTGATGCTCGGCTCTCACATCAGACCGATCCATGTGCTGAGACCAAGGGGGCGGGACAAGTAGCTGCCAGTACGAGCCCTGAGCCAATCAGAGAGGAGAATCTCTTATCTATCACATTTGGCTGTGAACAGACGGGTAAGAGGAGGGGAATAATAGCAGACAGAGACATGGAGGAGCTCTTTCTTTGCTCTCTTCCTGTGTGAGTGCATACAGTAGGCACTATGTGTGTGTGGAACAAGTGAGCATTGGAACTGTGCCAGTACAGTAGAGCAAATATGTTAAATCTCTCCACAGATGTGAAGCTGACATTTTTCATCAGGTTCACCAACACAATGCACTGATAACTAATTACTTTTTCTGGAACATGTTTTACTTTAACGAAAATGTACTAGTAAATAGACAGTAACTCTAATGATTACTATCAGGAGGAAGGAACTACTATTCTTAAACACACATCCTTAGCTAAATGTATTATTATAGTCAGCTGGTATGCACACTATGGCCAGTATTTTGTATTAAGTGGCATTTTCAGCATCTTGTTGAATTAAAACCAAAAAAAAGGAAGGGTGTTGAGGTGACAGACTACAAAAGTTCATCTGAGCTCAAATGTCAAGTGCCAAGACAACCACAGGAGGAGGGGCTACAGCTCCGGGCTCTGCTTTGTGCCCTAAATGCAAAATCCCTGTGCACTTCTCTAATCTTTTCACAGCCTGTGGCTTCAGAGGAGAGGGCTCGTCTGATGAGAGACCACACACACAGAGAGATGAGGTCTGAAACAGCAGCGGTAGAGGCAGGCGAGTGAAATGGTGGAGGCAGACCGCTGACAGATTTCTGCCTTTAAGTGCCTTAGCAACAGCCATGTTAAGCTGAAACTCCATTGGACACTGCTCTAGCCCATGTGGCTATTTGGACCAATCAGCAAGCTTTGCAGCAGAACTGAGCAAAGACAGTCCACAGGCAACTAGGAGTTCGCTAAATCATGCCCCCTGGTGGCACAGACAGTCATACATTAAATAAAATATCTATGTTTGAAACAATTAATGTTTTATCATTTAAGTGTTTATAACAGAAGATTCAAGTAATACATTACTTACTGTCACCTTTTAAAATTCATTTTCCGCAGGATGCTGCCATCTGCAGAAAACAAAGAAGAAATTAGATTAGAATGCTTAATAATAATTAAAAGTTCTTAGATAGGTTATCTTGTATATGACAACATGCTGTACTTTCTATCAAAGAATTATAACAGCTCTTTAAGAGTAAATAGATAAAACGTTAAATCAACAAACAAGCTTGCAGTGTCCCCAAGTGGTTAATATGTTTTACTACATGTAGATGGAACGTGCAGAAAACCATGTAGGCTCTCTGCATTGAATTGTAAATGTGAACCATTTATTAAACTGTTGCTGAATAATACTAAATAAAATTTTTATAAATGTTAAATGAGCAAAATATAAAAATGTAAGAGGTATGTAGTACATAGATTAATTCAATAAATGGCAAATTGCTGCCCGCTAAATTATGTTTGTCCATATAACTGCATCATCAGCACTAGTTCCATAAGTTATGGATGCCATAACTCAAGATTAGAGTGCATGGCCTGGCAGGGCAAAAACTACAACCAGTCACCATAACTGACTTATCATGTCAATGAGAGACACTGTTGCTCAAGTTTATATGACACAACATTTGCATTTACCTTAGATGAAACAGCATACATTTATATTCACGCTCTACCACTTAATCCATTTATCCACAAATGCCATAATTAATATAATAATATAATAAGTGACTAATAAATTAAACAAATGGTTTTAGTTTATAAATAACTGATATGTCATTGCCATTTTTTAGCAATTATCTTATTCTTTTATTTGAGCTGTATCAAAAAACTTGAAATCACCTGTGTATCACCTGTGAATTAAAGGTATTATATTATCCAATATTGATTGAGCTTTTAGCAATGTTATTGCATATTGTTAAAATGTTGTTGTAAAAAACATACCTGAGTTGTATTTTGTTTCATTCACACATGGACCTGGATTATTAGGTTGTTCTGTTCCAAATTGTTATGTCATGAAGCAGCAATTTTCAAGTTAACAGCTACCTTTTACCTTTTGTCCAGCAGAAATTGGAAAGCTCAAGGCTGAAATTATCCAAATGATTCTCGTGAAGGTGTATGGAACACATTGGAGCACGTCCTGTATTACCACATGACACCACAAGATGGAACAGTGTTTTCCATTTGAGAAAAGAATTCAGCCTAAATATATAGAGTTTGTGTGTTAAACATGTGTGAATGAAACGAAACAAAACTGCAGGTATGTTTTTGTTGAGGACACATTTTACAGTCCATTTAAGCTTATAGTTTCTCAATAGATAGCAAGTGGCATATTTTGCATTTTAGTACACTTGCACTACATCCTATTTGTCTATCTCTTATAAAGTCAAATGTATAATCAACCACTCCTTCTTTGGTCATTCTAACAGTCATACCTTTACATATAACATCTACTACATTTTCATCACTGCACACTTTTGTAGCTCAGTTACAGAGCACACAGCGCCAGCAAAAGAACCACGATGCAGTCCTTATTTCTATCTTTAAACCTTTTTGTGTGCTTTTTGCCTTTAACTTTGGCAACAGTAGTTCCTGACTTTAATCACGTGGAGAGATGCAAGGACTCCCTGTATATGGGAACACCACCGCGGGGCTTTACTGACATGGGGCTGAAAAAAATCTGCCAGCGCTATGCAGACAAGCCTCGCTATGTGACCTTATATGACCCCAAAAAGAGGATTCCGGTGTATTCTGCCTACTCATTCAAGAAAACCGAGGGGGATAGACGAGTGGACTATCCCTGGATGTATGAACCACAGGTAGGGGAATGTGTGTGTGTCTGAAACCACGCCAATGAATACCTAATAATAACATTTTTTTTTTTTACCTTCACTAGAGTCAATTCAGAGTGACATGTTGAAAATTGTTGGCCATTCACAATATATAATTGTCAGTTGCTCTGGCAGTGGTGTAAAATTGTCATGACTCTAAAAACCCATGGACAGGTAATAATAGAAAGAAGAGAATGGATGGCTAATAAGATTTTAATTCGTTCCAAGTATGTATACCAAGTTGTACAGTAAATGAACACATAAGAGTAAAGCAAAGTAGAAATTCAATTCTGTCAACTGGACAAAAGTTTGAATAGGCTACAAAATGTAATTACTCATGAATATACTACTACTCTTAGTGACATGTGAAGAGTTGACTTGCAGAAATGGATAAGTGTCACGCACAGGTTTACTGTATCCTCTTTGTAGTGTGTTCAAAACAAGTAAAAAAAAAAAAAAAAAAAAAAAAAAAAAAAAAACTTCAGTAGACATTTTCAGTTTTGCAATTGAACTCTTATGTGAACTCTTACTAAACTGATACTGATCCTAATACAATGTTAAAAAAATCTTTCAAAAATGTATTGTAAAAAGATTACAGCGAATAACTCTACAAATCATGATAAATCGCTTTGTGTGTTTGTAATTGTTTTTAGTTGGCTGAAACAGATGGAAATGGAAACATGCTGCCCTTCCCCACTGGATACCTGCATATGAAGTTTGAAGACAGCCAGGCGGTCCTTGATGACTATTCGGACGTGGTTCTCTATGAGAGAGGTCACCTGAATCCTGACCAGCACCAGTCCACTCCACATGACCGTGCCGCTACTTACACTTTGACCAATGTAGTCCCTGAGATCCGTGAGTTCAACATTGGCCCATGGCGTGAGTATGAAGAGCGCATCCGAGTCCGTCTAAACAACTTCTGTCGTGGCACTGCCTTCATTGTAACTGGGGTGACCACCAGGGGTAACATGATTCGCCGTAACAACCAGGACCGGGTGGCTATCCCAGAAGACAAGTGGTCTGCTTACTGCTGCACAGAATATGACAGAAATGCACCCCATGATGTCCGAATTCGATTCCCATCCCACGCAGCTCTGGCCAAAAATGCCAAAGAGGGCAACAGTGTCCATGAGATGACAGTAATGGAGCTGGAGACATTCCTCAAAGATAACCTGGAGGTTGACCAAAACTTGCAGATCTTCTATGACAACTGCATTTCTCCATCACCACTTCCTGTTTACCTGCAACATACCATCTAAATATCTAAATGTGTTCAAGCTAGCAACCATTGTGATTGAGAAATTAATTAAGCTCTAAGTTACTGTTGAGTTTCATTTGGCCTGTTACTTATTTTAACTTCTCTTGTGAAATAAAGCCAAAATAGTTTGTCTTTGTTCTTTTTTTGTTTGTTTGTTCAGTTTTGAATAAATTCAAGCTATATGATTAAAGCCATACTTTGAAAATCCAAGCAAAGCAATAGCATCTCCATAGAGACAAGCAGGTGACATACACTCTACTGGAAAATTACATACTGCCTCTTTAACATTCTGTACATCTTATCATTCATTACATTTTCCAGATTACTGACAGAAGGATTCATCATAATTTTGGTCATGTAGATGATGCCGAAGATCCTGAACTACGATATGCTCATGCTTCATAAAGAATTTACATCCTTGTCACTACATGAAAAAAAGTGTTTTATCACATGGTTGCGGTATAACAGCTAATGCCATTGTGAAATGCCTTTTATCTAAGGATGGTTCATGTTAACAGCACGTGCCTCTGCCTGGTGTGTGATACATGAGGATATCCTTCTCTGCAGTATATGCCCTCTATCGCCATCTAGTGGCGAGTTCTGAGTATTACTTTTGAAATTATTTTCATACTATTAAAACTCTTGTAAGATGTGGATATTATGCTGCCACTTTGTCTATCAAGATAAAATATCGTTCTGAATTTAAATATCGCATTCTCAGAACAGAAAAAAGCGCTTTCTCAGTCCTTGGCAGTGCATCCTCTGAACAGCTCCATCGCATTTTCTGTTCACCCATATAAACAATGTAGATTAAAACATGCCAGGGGCATTGTAACACGAGGTAACATATATGTAGCTGTACGTTAGTTTACATTTCCCCATAGTTTTATTTTATTTGACTTTTAACTGCAACTTGATTGGACCTTGAACGAATCATTGGCTTAATAGCCGAATGTGCAAGAAACTAGGCCTATAAAATCTGGCATAGCTTTAGCTATATATAGAACGTAGCCTATTAAAAGTTTCCCACTATGGCTGTGAAGTTTCTTCGGACTACTAACTATCATTTAACAGACGAAAATCGACCGGAGAGTGGGTACGGAGACATTGACTCCAGAGTCCATGTACAGATACAGTACATTGATTACAGCCCACCCTTGGCCAAATTCGCATTTTAGCAAAGCAAGTTGTGACTTTCACTGACCCCTAGTGACTAGAAGAAGCGCGACGATTAAAAAACAAAACAAAACAAAAAAAAAAAAAAAAAAAAAAAAAAAAAAAAAAAAACAGGAGATAAAACAACCCAACTGTTCTGAATCCTGAACACTTAACTTTATTGACGGAAACAACTAGGCCTACCTACATGAATCAAATAAGCACTGTTAGAAATTAATCTCCACTTAAATTTTGTTTTATACATGGGGTGAACGTCTTGTGTGCACTAATGTTGGGCTGTCACGGTGGAAGACAACAGGGGTCCTTGGGATGTTTTCTGATTGATAACGGGTTTGCATCTTCAAAGCCTAACTTATTCTTCTACTTGACAAAACACTCAAAAAATGTTTTAATGGTTAATAAAGATGCAATCACTGCTCTAGGCAACATGGTTATTGGTTAAATATTAAAATTAAGTCTTTTGTTTAAGAATGTATTTTTAATGATTTCCAGTTCAGATACACAACATACAGTGTGTAATAGCCTCTATTTGAAATAGAAATATTAACTTTGTTCTTTCAACCCCTTCAGTCCATTTTGCTCTCTCACATTATGTTGAGCTTCAAGCAGATACTAAAACAGACTAAATGAAACAGACAAACAGGTGCAAGCCTCCACTTTCCCAATCAGCGTCTGGTACAAGAAGATATCTGAAGTTTGGTTAAGCCTTTGTTATTCATATATATATTTTTTGTTTTTACTTATATTGAGCCAACATCATAACTGTAGTGTAAACATGTAAACTTGAGTGTGCTTCCGATCTGTTGGCTGACCCTTAACATTGCATGAAAAAAAGAATGCATCTTTAAAATTGGCACAAATGCTTGATGAGTTAAGATTAATGCTGGATGAACATAATCTGAATATTTAGGCCTATCCATCAAAGTCATGTAAAACATATTGTGACATTACAATGTCCCCAACTAGCTCTGCATCTACTATCTGCCAATAAAGGGTGATTATATTAATGCACTGAAAGCATTATTTTTTTGAGTGTATTCTGAGCTCAACAGATATGCTGTCATTAAATCATATTAATTCTTGAAAGCATGTTTCTGTGGCTCATTGAAAAAAAGAAAACAAAAAGATGAAAAAACTAAATGAACAAAACTTGCACCTGCTGTCACAAAAAAAGGTTTGGCCAATCACTCAAACCAAAGGACAAACAGAATATTTACAAATTCCCAGTTGGTTCTCTTACACTTAAAAAATGTACAGTTTGTGTGGTGTGGTGGTTTTGTCCTCTCTGCTCCAGTCCAGTGAGGGATGGCAGTCTGGGCCCAGGGTCGTGATCACATGACCCCCACACATCCAGCTCCTGTAGTAACACATGAGGATGAGTTGTGTCTGTCGGAGTTTTGAACTCTTGTTTTCGGCTCTGCTCCTGCGTGCACCGGCAGATCAAAGTAGACAACAGATTTATCAGCATTTGTCCACGTTTGTCCTGAAATCACTGGGCTGTTTGATCATGAATGTCCAAAGTGCGACCCGTCAGTCTCCTGTTCAGTTGTGCGAGAGCTGTGAAACACACATTGCAAGGCGCTCTCACCTTTAAGCCATGGTAAATTTAGCCCATCCCACTGAGAGGAGAGTAATAACAACAGAAGATGAAAGACAAGTGTCAGGCAGTCTTCAAACACCGAAGCATATGGATATAGTCAGTCACACACAAAACGCATTAGGACTAATCATGTTGAGCAGTCGCTTTTGTTTTTTGTAACTTAAAAAAGTGCTTTCCTTGTGTGATATTGAGAGTGGCTGTGCAAAAGAGACAAGTTATAACATGAGGGGGAGATAAAGGCTTTGTCAGTCTTTCTGCTAATGTGTGGCACAGCCCCAGTGTTAGAAAAAAATAAAGAGGAAATATTTATTCTCTTTAGTATACTTTTACACAATATTCATCTCTCTATACTTTTATATCAGTTGAAGTACCACAAAGTGCTGTGTATTTTAAAACGGAAATAAAAAAGTAAAATAAAAAATGACAAATAATAAAAACAAGGCAAAATATGGGAAATCTAAATGGCAAATGTCTATGTCCACACTGTTTAAAAAAACATGCAAATATCCCAGACAGCAATAAAACTTCATATTCATTTTTTAAACAAGGATATACTGATTTCCCTTTGAGAAGAGACCATCCACAGTGCAACACTGAATGTAATTAAAAAGTGTGGATCAAACAGAAAAATGAAGGGGTTGGCACTTTTCTGATGATATTTCCTTTTGTAGAATACAGTCAGGGTAGGCCTCTCAGACGTCCACTGGACGCCAGCATGAGAGGAGCTTTGTCACAGTACTTGGCACCAAGAATGCTGGTAAAAACGAGATATCAGAATATCTTTTTTCATTCATATCCTTACAATTTATTAATAATACATCATTTACATTTGTGTTTTTGTATAAAAGACTCCAAAAGGAATAAAGAGTCTAGTAGTGATTGCAATAGAGAGAAGGGAATGTGAGATGGATAATGCAGTGGTTTAATAAAAAGAGCTACAAGGGCATATGCACAGAGAAAGTGGTGTGAGGCCGTAAATGGAGAAGCAGTTAAATGGGCCGAGATGCGGATAGAGACAGAGATAATGAGTGAGAAACAAATAAAGTAATGGATGTGATTAGCGCCTGTGTGGCCCAGATGCAGCCCAGTCTAATGGGCAGCCTGGATTCAGGTCGCACCCCACACGCTGAGTGAGTCAGTTTATCCAGGAACGCCCAGAGGAGCCAGCCCCAATCTGGAAACGGCATCATCACTACATAGATCTATGAAGCAAGACTCTGGTATTATACAGTATAATACTATACATTGATTTGTAAATATAAAAAATACATTTCATAATGAAGGACGACGCTCAGCTGTCACATTCTTGTACTGCAAACAGTACATTTCTCATATCTCTAAACCAGAACGGAGACAGCTTTGGGGACAAAGTGCTCAATGCGTGGTGCCAAATTACACTTCCAGATTGGGCCTTTAAAGCTGCAGTTTGTAGGTTTCAGGAAATCTCTTCTTTATGACACACAGCTTGTTAAGCATATGCCGCCTCGTTCAAAGCAGCCCCTAAACCATGAATGAAAATGGTTATTTGTATTCTATGTCAAACATAGTTTTACACTGACACAACAACACATGATCAAAACAACTAAGCTACACATAAGTTGCCTGATTGACTGTGATAGGCTTTCTACCTCTGACGGGGGCTATGAGCTTAAAGCTGCACTTTTGGCATCTCAAAACACCAAATACAGAAAGCTGTAATGAGGCAAAGCTGCAAGAACCAATGGCAAAGAGCATTTGAACACAACGTCCTTTGATTGTTGTCCTCATGTTGAGGTGTTCCTGAATGTGAAACGTACAAACTGCAGCTTGAATGAGGGCTGAATGAGAAGAGACAAATACAAAGGGTTGATGGTGGAGCAGTTTTGTGGTATGTCTCTGTGAGCCCAGAGTTGTGCGTGGTCCTATACTCGTGTGGTAGAGTGTTGGTGCGGCAGAGCATTGTTGCTGTGGCTGGGAACAGGAGTACCAGAGGGGGCCGGGACAGGTGGGTAGGTGTTGAAGGGGTGGAGCGGCTGCATGCTGCTGATAGTGCTGGGGATCATAGTGATGGTGTTGGCTGTCATCAACGGCACATCTCGGGCGCTCTCCTCAGGGCAAGAGTGTAGTCAGGGGGGCACACGGGGGGCCGCAACGTTTCCAGGTCACCGTGTACACCGCGGGAAGGGAGGGGGGTCCCATGCTCCAGCTCCACTCTCTGCTGCTTCATCTGCAGTGACATCAGCTCCTCCTCCTGACTCAGGGCCAGGTCGTTGTGAGGTGGGGCTCCTACCACTCCCATACCCACACCCATGCCCATAGTGGTGCCCCTCTGAGGGGACAGGCGGCGGTGGCGCCTCTGCATGAGTTCATGCCTCTTATCACGTTTGTAATAGAGTGCAGCGAAGGCCAGGACGTTTAGAAAGAGCAGAGAGGCTCCCACAGCCACTGTCACGCTCAGCTCTGTGGAGTAGTCCCGTGTTTTCTCAGGGAAGGGGGGAGTGCGCGGGGGCTCAGAGCTTTCGGGGTCTGGGTCAGGAGGGTACGTGGAGATGATAGGCTGACGTGTGGAGCGTGTGCCAGGGTTGGGCCTGATGCGATTGGGACCTACAGGAGTCACTGGAGTTTTCACAGAGCTGATGATCTCGTGCTGAAGGCCGTGGAGGTGTGGCACCAGCTCCAGCCAAAAGGCCACCTTATTGGCCCGATAGTTGTCCCGGACACGAGGCTTCAAACCGATGTGTAGGTACTGTTTGTCTTTTGAACTGAACTTGGTCCAGATGACCTCCTCAAAGCGGTTTGGTTTTGTGTGAATAAAAGTGGTGTCCTGTGGAACAGGTAGGTTGGGATCTCTGAAAGAAAAAATATAGCACCAGTTTTAAGGCCAGACACTGCATGGAAATACAGAAAAATCTTACATTTAGAGGTAATAATTTGAACCATTTTGGTGGCTTTTGTATTTTTTCACCATTTCATGTTTTCATATGCAAAAAGGATTTAATGTGTAAAAATGGCACACATGTCACATACTAGTATCTGGAACAAAATAGATGAAGTCAGATCTAAATTCTTGTCTCATTTTGTTGACATATTAGGCACACAAACATGTTACAGGAGGAATTTTGGATACCCTATTTAAGTAAACTAGATATTACTGAAAATAAATAAATAAAAAACTAAACCGAAAAATCATATGAAGAACTGTTGATGAATAATGCCTACAAAACGTATATTTATTAGTTTAAAGTTGAAAGACAAACAAAAATACATAATTTCTAATACAGTATTATTAGAAAAGCATACATACCCTGTCTTTGCAAAGTTGGTCCAATACGTCATGACCACTGCACTTAGCATCACATCATTTTTGCTGAAGTTGCATGGAAACAGGTCAGTGGCACCCACCATGGGGATCCCAAACACATAGGGGATCTCATCTCCATGGGCAGCGTCAGCCCACTCTGGTCGGGCCTCGGTCTGACAGTGGTGGTGGAAGGTGTAGAAGTAGACAGGCGACTGGAACTCTGCATGCAGCTTCGCTGTGGCAACGGCGGGGGCCACCCACTGATGGTCTGTGAACAGGGCCAGGAGGGTCTTCCTCCGCATGTCGCTGTTGTCCCTGTCAGCCCAGTCTGTGTACATGAACTTAATGGTCTCCCTGAGGATACCTTTACCTTGCCAAAAACAGGAAAGCCAAATGAGAACTCACTGTTGAAATAAAGCATTACATGTCATGAAGAGCAGTTTTTCTGTACAACTGTTACAATAGATAAATCAATTTAAGCAGATAATTAAAACTATTAGTAAATACATAGAGTGTAAAATGAAGTATGGTCTGACCATCTGGGTATCCGTAGAGGTTGTCCACAAAGTTTGATATGGTGTAGTCAAATGAGGCAGCTGAGATCCCGTCTTCTCCTTCACTGTCATCCACAAATTTCAGACCCTCTCCCTGGTTCACTCCCAGCAAGATGTCATAGTTCAGAAACTCACCCTGTGTCAACAAAGCACAGTATAACAGCATAATATTTAAATTTTAAACATGCAACGAAGCGAGTACAAAAATAACACTTCTGTCAAGGATATATTTATAAGAGATTTTGTAGCTGGAAAGCTGAAATGCTGCTCATATTTTATAAAACGTACTTCAGTGTAAGTTTTGAGAAAATACAAGTTAAGTTAAACAAGATCTAAACAGTTTCAATATGGCTGTACTCTACCAATCTCTAATTACCAGAAAATACTGTCAGAACTAGAGGTAGGATATACATTGGAAAAAAAAAAAAAGAATATTGAAGTTGATTTTTTGTAGATAATTAGAATATTTAGTATATCATCTACAATTTAAAAGTTCCTCAAAAAGAGAGAGAAATCACTACTGTAATGCTCCATGTGGTTATGTGGTTAAATTTACAGTCCATTCACATTTTGTGCTCAGTCAAAACATTTACGCAACACATTTAGCACATTCCTAATGCCTTGGTAGAATACTGTCAGAATGGTGTTATCAAGATACTGTAAAAAAGATGGAGTTTTTTGTTAATATCCCCCACCCCTAGTCAGAATATATTTCATAATCACATTTTTTTAACATGTAAAAAAAACTATTGCATTTCTGTTCTGTATTTAAAAAAACAAACAAAAAAAATCTTTATTTTCAAACAATTATTATTGTTTGAAAATGATAAAGCTCTGGAGTGATCCATGCATTTAATTTTGTTTGCAAAATTCCTGTTCATATGGTGCTTTTCTGCCTTAGAATTCTGTCATTGTTTAACAGGGTTAGGTTAGGTTACTTCAGCTTAAACCCTTTTGGTCATGGTCCAAATGGGGTTGTAGTCTATGCCCTTGTATCGCTGCAAATGACCGAATAAACTGCTAGTACTACTACAACTACAGTTTGAGTAATATCTGTACCACAAGATCACCAGTGTCAGCTCTGACCTGCTGCATAAGAATCTCGGGGTCATCTGGCACCACATCTCCATCCACCACAGGCCCAAAGGCAATGTGATATCGAGCCGGCTGGATGTCCTGATCCACCAGCTCCCGGAAACTCTTCCTCCTCAGGCAGTCCACTAGCTCTGCCATATCGCCTAGGTTACAGCCCACCTTCTTAGCCAGGGTCTTAGTGTACATCATGGGCTGGTAGTTGACCGACCAACTGGAAATGGCTGAACCGCTTTGTGCTATGGCTCTCTGGAACAGGCCTGTTGGAAGACGAGTATATCCATTATTAAAGATGCACTATGTGGAGGATCCAACATGTTCTTGTAAATGAATGTCAAATGAATTTTGTTATTATAACGAGTTCTATGGTCCTGTACATTATCTGGTTTAACAGATCTGAGAGTATGACATCATCACATCATATAATATAAAAACTACCGATGGATATGTTATTGCTTTAATTGGAATGTTCCACAGTATGACATTAAACTTATCATAGAGACAAGCAGGTAACACGACCAGTCCAAGTAATAGGGGAGGCGACCATACTCACAGTAAGAGCAGGAGTGTAACAATATCCAAGTCTCACGATACGATATTGTCACGGTATGAACCTCACGGTACGATATTTATTGCGATATCATGGGAAAGCTCACGATACGGTGGGGAGGCTCACAATTAGGGATGTAACAATATCCATATCTCTTGGTACAATATTTTCACAATATTTTGTGGAGGCAAACAAAACTGTGAATATGCTACTTTTTCCTCTTAAAATGTCTTGACAAGACTTAATCCAAAGAACTAAGACTTAAAAGTGCTCAGAACTGTTATTTCTACATGTAGTCTACACTGAAATGGAGCAAAGGATCATGGTCTATGTAGTTCCCTCTGGTTCTTTTTTAGCTATTATTGCACCATAACTCTTCATTTAAGCAAAGAGACTTGTAATTCAATATATATTATGATTGTCCACGATATTATTGAGAGAACTTTGACGATATGATATCACAATATTTTGGTTATTGTTACATTCCTAAGTAAGAGTGCATTTTTTTTAAGGTATGTTTGAACAATAAAAACGTGTATTTAAATAAGTGCAGGAAAGATAAGTTTAATGCCATATTGTAGAACATTCCAAATAATTCCAAACATCTCCTAGGAGACAATAGGTGGCATACCACCCCCAGAAAATACCATAGCACATCTTCAGTGATGGGAAGAATACTTTCAAAATGTATTTAGTTACAAAATACTGAAAGCCCGCATTAAGATGTATTTTCTGATATATGGTCTAATCAAAGTACTCTATTCTGAATACTTATAATACTTTTTAAATTGAGGTGCATGTAAATTATAGTGTAAAAACGCAATATAGGATTAAAAACATCTTTATATTTGTTTCACTGTTTGTTATGCATTTCCTATAACTGATGGGAGAGAGAAAAATAACTCATGCCCTTTTTTGTTTTGTTTTTTTCCAAAATTTGTATTCTGAATATGTATTCTCGGTACATGTATTCAGTTACTTCCCAACACTGCACACCTTTAACAACATACAATCACATATTCTCTATCAGTTTAGCACAGTTTTCTTCCTGACACACTTAGCAGGCCTTGGAGAGCCAGGAGTGTGAGCGTGTTAAATAATGCATATGTTGGAGGAGGAGCAAATGTGGAGTAATACATATGAAGCAAGATGAAGGAGATACCCTGCTGCGTTGCATTGCCGGGGAAAAATCTTTTTGAATGTTACAGCCAGGGAAAAATATGCTCCCATTACATATGACCAGAGACAGCGAGAAGAGAAATGGCGGCGAATCAACGCGCAGCAGTGGTCTTGATGTGTCAGATAATGCCAGTGAGGAGATAGATGGCGAGGCGAATAGAAAGATGCTTCTTGAACTGTTGCGCTATTATGTAAAATGGCTTGTGTCCCTCTATTTTATCTGCAGATTCTGTCATTAATAATTAAGCCCCCCACCCCCCTTTGCCATATTCTGCATGTGCCCCACCCCCGTTCCTCTCCCTGTGAAATCAATTAGGAAGGCTCTCGGAGGCAGCCCATCTCTCATCCGCTCATACAGTACCTCCACAAACTGTTCAACTTTTTTCACACTTCCAGCCATTACAGTCTGACTTCAAAATGGATGCTCCATGGATGCATGCAGTGCAAACTGAGTAGAGGATCTGCAAAATAAATGTTCCCCAAAAGCAAGTATACTTTGAAAATGCTTATAATTTATGCTATAGCAATGAAATGTTGCTTTGTATTGTATAGATATGGCCAAATAACCATCATCAGCCACAACTAGTTCAGCAATAAAAAAATATATAAATTTTCAAATAGATTACTGAGTAGAGTGAAGTATAGAACACAGTGGCACTATGTAACTTTTTATTGATGGGGGTGCATAAGTACACAAGTTTAATGCTGTACTGTGAAAGTTACCAGGCAAAGCCATAACTTTTCCATGGAGAAAAACAGGTGGTTGACTGTCACAGTCCTCAGTCTAGTAATAGTAATAGTCTAGTATAATATTACAGTTTACTGATATCGATATAGTAAAGTAGGAGAGGAAATCCCTTTTAAGTATTAGATTCAAGACATTATAAACCAAAATCTGATGACTCCTCAAATGTTAAAATCCCAACTGCATACAGCTAAATTAAATACATTTTAACTTTTATCATTAAGGAGTGACATGCATAATATTTGACAAAACCAAAAATAGCAAGACATTTCTTCTTATTATAGTGTGAATGTAAACTTTAGTTGATCAAAAATTAAATCTGATCTTTATGGTCAGGTTGTGTTAAAACAAAAAATTTAAGAAACAGACCAACAGCAGTGCCTCCAGCTAGCTTTACCACACTAAGGAATGTTGATGGCATCATCTGAAGGTATCAGGTGCCTAGACAGGATAGGTTTCATTTCAGAAAGACAATTTTTGTTGGCATAGTTGAGTGATTTGAGCTCCATGAGGAGTGACGTTATTTGGGATTATCTCAGAGCCTGTGTCCCTAGGTGCAGAGTGTGGTGGGGAATAACCTACTGTTTATATCCATCTGTCAGCCCAGTCCACCGCGCCACTCGGCTCTCACAGTTTATGGGGATATCCTCATGCATATGTGTCAAAATCCAAACATGGGCTTTCTTTTGCATTGTGTTTATTATCCCAGCTACCAGTGAAAGGAAAGAATTGGGTTTTGAAGTGCATATAGTATATATTGAATAGGTAGTTTTTTAGTATTACAGAAGTGCTTGTTGCTGTGCTCTAGGCATAAGTTTGAGAAAAGGTGGAAGTAGTACTCCAAAGCTATATTTTTGACAATTAGCATTACAAATATATACATTTGCAGAAATATTTTTAATATCTTAAAAAATAAATAGTAATAGCGAATAGTGAGTTTCAGAAAAGAAATAATAGTAGTGGTAGTAATAATTAACATTAACATTGGCAGGAACAAAGGACAGGATGAGAACATTTTCCACCTTGGATATGGAAGAAAAGTGTTTTTCGTGAAACAAACTCTCAATGACACACAATATGTGGGTTCATTCTGCTGCAAGCTCACTGGTGTGTTTGTTTTTTGAGCTGTTGTAAAAAATAAAAACAGAAGGAAGCAAGATTCTTATTCTGCTTTTGGTAAGCGTTGCAGTTTAGTAATATGTCAAAATACAATGTGCTTTATTTTTAAAATTAAATAGTATTTTTGTAAAATGTGTATGCAACTCATCCTGTGTTGATGTGTTGATTAAGCGTGGCCTCACCTTCAGAGTGGTGTGACAGGATCAGGAGGTTCACGCAGGCCGCCCCTGCTCCAGAGCCAAAGATGGTGATTCTCTCTGGGTCTCCTCCAAAGTGCCCAATGTTTTCATTTAGCCAGCGGAGAGCCTGGATCTGGTCCAACAGGCCATAGTTCCCCTTCGCTGACTGGTCCCCTGTGCTAAGAAAGCCTGCCGGCCAAAACAACAACGAAAAGAGAAGAAAAAATGAAAAGTGCTATAAGTGTCAGACAACAAGGTAATCCAAGTGCATCTCAAACTATTCTTTTAAGCGGAAGATGGCAACCTGTCATTTTCAAGAACTGCTCCAGCTCCTGTGAAGCCGGCTGAGATTTTAACACTGTAAGCTATGCCAAATTACTCATTTTTAATACACACACTACAAATACAGCACAGTTAGGGTGAGATGAACAGAAGGGAACATGTCTCAACAGTAGGTAAACACCCACTAAATGTTAAATTAAACTGAACAAACTATCACTGGTATGAAACAAAGTGTACATAATGTCTATTCAGTGTCTAATAATACATAAGGATTCTAATAGGAGCCACTCAGCATCACTGTAATTATGTAATTAACACACTTGCCTATTGGCAGCCATTGTGACCAGCAAGCTCTCTGTAAAAAGGACAATGATGTGAAAGATTTTATGCTGTACTAAATATTGCTATGGAAGTAGTTTAATGCATTAGCCATTTTTATAAGCAGGTGAATGTATGCAGTGTGTGGTTTGCTACTCGGATAAGTCAAAGTTCAGTAACAAAGAGAAAAACCTTTATTTTGTAGATCAATGGTGTCTGTGAAATGCTAGGGTAGATATTGAACACTCTCAAAATCAAAGAAATTAAACCAGAGCAACATAACTCCTGCCACAGGGGGTCAGTAAAGGAACATATGATTGTTTTAGTGAACTCTTTACTGTTCTGGTAATGATGCTAGGTGCTCTATTCATGGATATGGCATATATTCTATTATGGAGAAAAGTCCTCACAATATCCATCAAATCAAAAAGGAATCATTTGCCTGATAGATCTCTCACTGGTGCTCAGGTCTGGGCACTATATCAAAAAATCCAATGCCAATTCTCTGCTTGTGCTCTTAATTGTTAAAGTGAGGCAAAAAAAAATTGGCTCTAAAAGTTTAGATTAATTTATATATAAAATGTTTGAGGTAAATTATGGCCTGTGTCTAACCTGCTCTACTCTATTTTCCATGAGAATAAGACCAATGGAGCATGAGTGTTGATCCTGTGATTGATATTCTATGGAGACCGCTGTGTAGGTGCTGCTCAGGATGCTGAGGTAATGAGAGCCGGTTAGCAGCCACTGATGTGTGCCTCTGACAGAGACTAATGTTCCCTAATAGACCTGTAGGGCCCAGGCTCCCATTTAAAAATAAACCACACAAGATACAGTATCCCCAAAAGGAAAATAGGGCTCAGACACTCAGGTAAGCATCCTATTGCTGTTTCATCTCCAAGCTCCAGGGGATCTCTATATCAGCATTACATGAATGATTGTGGGCTGGATGATACAAAGATGTAAGTATTAATGCCATATTTTAAAGGAACGTATACAATGATAGAAGCACGTTAACTCTTTGTTCATGAGGTGTATTGTATTGCTGAATATATTATATGGTTGCATATGTATAAGCCTGTCAAAATATCACATTTTGAAGAGCAATATATTTATAAGTAAAAATAATACAATATTGCCATATGTCAAAAATAAATTAATAAATATAATATTGAATGCCATTATGCCACTGCCATGATAACCCTAAAGCAGGATTTCACACAAAAATTATTCTGTATGTACAGTATTGTTAATGAACGCAAGATAAAATATATAAATGTAAAACTTAATGAGTCATGGAAGTTGTTTATTCAACCCTCTACAGCTCAGTTATTATTGTAGTACTGAAAAATTGCAAAAAGTCCCCTACTAGTACAAATAGAACGTAGTCACAATAAATACTGATTCCAAAAATAACTGTTCCATTTTTCATGAATTGAACAATAAGTTGATATAGTATTTATCATGATATTATGATAATATGATATGTTAATACAATGATAAAACCACAATGCTATATTGCTACACCACACTAATACAATATTTAAAATAATAATTTGATGTGCAACAGTCTTGGGCTTTTCATAAAGTTAATAAGAAAAAGCTTACTGATTATTTTTGTATTGCACTTCACAATTTAAAAAACTATGTAGTGTTTGATGCTCTACATGAAATTTCCTTCTATGACAAAAAAATAAAATAAAAATCTTGAATCTGAATCTAAATCTAAATTGAATCAGAGTAAATTCTTGTGAGTTACATGGTGCAATACAGTCACGGATAACTGTCCACTTGTACTAACACAATATCTATTGGAGCTACTTTTATTACTACAAGCACTACAACCTCTAACAACTACCTAATCAAAATAAAATTCAGTTTTACAGAAGAAGGCATACATTTGGAATTAAAAAAATACTGTACACTTGAAATGCTTGGGTGTTTATAATTAATTAAGCGCACATAATGAGACTTTTGGATACATAGTTGATTTGACATTGTTCTTTCTCGTCGGGTTCGTCCTGTTCTTACAACCTGATGCATAAAGTTAATAGAGTGAGGCAGAGCATAGCCAGCACCGAGGGGACTGTTTGTCATATGGTGGAATCTGCAACAGCCACTTTGTGTGCACTTTGAACCTAACAGTTGTTGTAACAGCTGGCCAACAAACTACCTGCTGCCAAATACTTCCTGAAAATGGGACATAAATATATGCATTTGTACTAATAAATGTACTAAACAGTTCATAAACTGTTTGTTATACTAAATTGTTATACTATGGGAATACATTTGTGCAGGATAAATATTTGGCCAGACAGAAAGTATGAGACACTAACTTGTAGAGGATTAAAACTATAATGTTAGAGATTTTGGAGAGCCTAAAGCAGCTGAGGAGCAGATGGCCCAGGAGGACAGTCAGCACACTGTACAGAGCAGAGAGTGTGTTTGTGGAGGTACTGATGAAGCCTATGATGAGGCCATCATGATAATGAATGTACCATTACAACAGGCAACTTGGATAGACTTGCTAAATATGCCACAGTGGGAACATTTACATGGCTAATAGAAATCAGAAAACTACAATAATCCAATATCACAAGAGTTAGATAAGATTTTTGGTCAGTGTTTACATGCACAAGAGAAATCTGATCATCAAAATCTTTTAGAGTAACAGTTGTATTTGGAAGACAAAGTAGAATCATTTCCTAACATACTGTAACTTTTCCAATCTTTAACAGTTTTTCTTTCATTTTTGTTTTTGCCACATTTGCCATTTTTTGCATAATTTTCCTGGTGAAAACCTGCACAGGTATGAACAATCAGAATTTAAATCTGATTAGATTAAATGTAACTGTAACTGCAATAGTTTACAACTTCAAGGTGTGCTTTGTGCATTTTGTGAGTTCAATACTGCCATACTGTGGAGCATTCCATACAAAGGAAAAACAGCTCTATGGAGACAAGCAGGTACATAACAAGGTACATAGTATGTGTTTAACTTAAGTCAAGACAATAATTGAACATACTGATCAATGAATAGAACAAGAAGCAAAAATGTGCTCGTGCATGTATGTCCTTGGAATAGGAACATGACGAGTCACAATACCAAAAACGCAGCTCTCACAGGTCTGGGGTTCTGGGAAAATTGAAATTGGCAGAGGTGTACACAAATACAGATGATAATTACCAAAATGCTAATTCATTATGGTTGACACAAGTTTTCATAGATACATAGATTCAACAGACAACAGTGTGTTTTTATGTCAGTGTCACGAGTGTGGTCATAAATATATGCATGACTTTAATATGGCGTGTGCTATAGCGCTATAATCCCTGGTTCATCTCCTATTGACTGGACATTAGCCGGAGTGAGTGACTAGGGTAAGATATGAGCACTGACCTGTGTTGCCACACCACCACAGTGTGTGTATGTGTGTGTGTGTGTGTGTGCCCGGTCGAGTGCCGTGCTGCCTGCCACAGTTGCTTGGCAACTGTCCAGAGCTTCAAGCAAAATGATATGGACAGACACTCGCCAAAGCACTTGCATACACACATCTAAGCACTTATATATTCAAGTACACAAACAGACACACATAGACACACAAACATGCAGCCAGGATGTGGCTGTCTTTGCCTTTACAAGGGCATCATGAACAAACACACTTAGCATTTTCATTTGTTATTGAAGATATGTTTCGCGTGGTCTTCTGGTTTGTCTTTCACTAAGTTTTCATTCTGATTCCCTCCATCTGCTGAGTGGAGCTTCCTCCTGACTTTAGTGCTGATAGCAGCAGTTTATCAGGATGGACTCATGCATATTCAACACTGGCTTTAGGTAAGAGCCAAGCAGCTGTGAGGAGGGTCTCCTGACTCACACTTCATATGCAGACAATGGACAAGGAGGAACAAAGGGTGGTCTCCAACTGGAGGAGGGAAACTTCAAATGTTATTGCAAGAGACTGTTACCTACAAGTTACAAAGGCTCCATTCAGACTGCAATGTCTAATGATTTATTCACAGATAAGACAGAAGCACACAATACCTTGTGTAAACTACTGTCCTGAACTGACCCACAGATGCAGTAAAATATAAAACAAAATATAATAATAATTATTATTGCTCAGACAAAATTATACATGTTCTGGCTTCAATAGTCAATGTACAGTACTATACTGTACATATTACTAAGGCAGAGTAGGTAGTTATGAACATCTCAGGAGTGATCAACACAGCTCCCTTAGTTTAATAATATTCTTGAAGAATTTGATTAATCAAAATGCACTCAAACCTTAAGCAGCTAAAATGAATTAAAGTTTGTTAAGTGATCTTGTGTCATGTGCCCTTTTAAATATACTTCATCTGCTGGTCAGTGGTATGTCTTTAATGAAAAGTGATTCTGATTCTGTTCTGCAATGTGATCCGTCATGTATCTAACTGACAATTCAAACAATAGATTTTTAAAGTTTGGCCAAAACCTGTGCAGGTCACTGGGCACATTCTGGGACAAAGAAGAAGAAGAGGATGAAAAACACACAGGAGACGTGAAGCAGGCATGAGGCTGAATCTTGCCCAAAGCTACTGTCAGACCCAAA